TCATTCTTCTTCCACTCCCACTGTCCCCTCTCAGCCCCCCCACTCCTGTCCGACCTCCAGTAATGAGTCTGACAGCATTACCAGTGACAGAGAGTAGGCAGCGTCTTTGGGACACCTGAAATGTTAAGCTCAGTATTATGATGCCCCAAACAACAGTGCCTCCATTAGAATATGTTCCTACATATTTCAAATGCATTTTTTTTTCTTTTCAAAAAGACATATGAACACTATCACTGTAGAGTTTGAAGTGACTGGCAAATCAAGTACGATTTAATCCAGGCATGAAAAACAATTACCTCTACTCAATAGAGAGGGTCCAGCCTTGAGCCTCAGCTCCTGAGTGTGACTTTTCAGCCCTTGGCATGTCCTGCCTGGTGAGGGTAGGTTTTAGCAGTGAGGAAGGAAGGAAAACAGCAGGAAGCTAAACGGGGCCAATATTTTGAAGATGTTTAGCATTTTCACGTATATGATCCAGGACCTGTTGCTGCTTAGAGCATGTGAGTGCAATGCCTGAGTTCTTCTGTGTGGCACTGGGCTAGAGGCACCAGAAAGAATGTGACTACCTGTCTGCGTTATTGAATGGCTTGCTGTCCTAGTCTATTTAGCCTGCTATGAAAAAGTACTGTAAACTGGGTAGATTATAAACAGTGGATGTTTCTCACAGTTTGGAAGCAGCAGAGTTCAACATTAAATGACTGTAGATTCACTGTGGGCCTGTTTCCTGATTATCAGTTCTACTGTGTACATCTCCACCAGATAGGAGAGAGCTAGCATTTTGTAGTCTTTTTTTTTTTTTTAATACACTAATGTCAATCATGAGAGCCCCGCCCTCAGTATCTAATTGGCTCCTCAGAGCACCACACCCAGTAGCACCAGCTTCTGGCTTAGAATTCAGCAACATTCATAGCATAGCACTCACTGTGTCCAGCCACCCTCTAAGCTTGCTATGAACAAACTGCCTTAACCGATCAATAACGCTATGAAAAAAATGCGCTGTAATCTGAAGAGGTGGGCAGCGAGTTACATAGCTTGTCCTTGGCACCACAGGAAGTAGCAAAAGCAGGATGTGAGGCTCCATCGCCTGTGAGCTTCCTCACACTGTCTCTAAAATGCAGAGAGCAGAGGAAACAAGGCCATTCCTGCATCTGTTCCATAGAGGCAAATTTTCCTATCTCAGTACTTCTGGAGACATGTTCAGACTTTCAAGGCCAGGTTGGCCCTGTTTGTTCTTGTCCTATATTGTTGTGGCTGCCCACCTTTCTCATTATTCTTTTCTTTCTTTCTTTCTTTCTTTCTTTCTTTCTTTCTTTCTTTCTTTCTTTCTCTCTCTCTCTCTCTCTCTCTCTCTCTCTCTCTCTTCCTTCCTTCCTTCCTGGCTTTCTCTCTCTCTCTCTCTCTTCCTTCCTTCCTTCCTGGCTTTCTTTCTTTCTCTCTCTCTCTCTCTCTCTCTCTCTCTCTTTCTTTCTTTCTTTTCCTTGCCCAAAGACTATAAGTGGCCTGGTTTTCAGGGTCCCTGTGCCTTAGCCTCCTGAAGATGGGAGTATTCCATGTTATCTGACAATGTATGTTTACCGCCCTTTAGTCTAAGGCTTTCCTCATCTCCCTAACATATTTTTTTGCCCCTACAGCCCACCCCATGAGTATTCCTTTCTTCTGTTTGTTATCTATCATACACTAATCTTGGAGTGTGTTCTCCTTTCTCATTTTTCCCCCTTTCCATTTATACTGACTGTTCTGATGGAACCCCTGCTCACCCTTGCACAAGCTGGGAAATCCTGTCTGTCCCTCCTTCCCCCTACCCCTGACCACAATGAGAAAACCCTGAACAAAATAATGGTGCATGGGGTGGGGGGGGCCTCAGGAGGTGGTTCCTTAGGGTAAGCATTCTCAGGCTATGAACAATTGGGAGGAGGCTGCAGGTGCTAGTTTTGCACATCCTGGTTAATTGTTCACCAACACTCATATTTGTCAAGATTTGCACTAGTACAAAAAGACGTTTCCAGCCCTCTGAACCTCACCCTAGGGGAAAGGCTTTGTAAGTTCCCATGTGTCTGAGGCATTGGTCCTTGACATGGCTGTGCTCATGTCAACACACATTCACTTGGGACTTGCAGATCTTCACTTTCAGGGCTTCCTCAGCTTCCCATGGGGGGGAGGGGGTGAGTTGTGTGGTTATTGTGTGAGTCTAATTCTGGTTAGTCTCAGTCCATTTGATCTACCACAACAAAGTACCATAAAGTGGGAAGACTATTGTCTTAAGTTGGGGTTTCTATTTCTGCAGTGAAAAACCACAACCAAAAAGCAATATAGGGAGAAAAGGGTATATTGGCTTACACTTCCATCTTGCTGCTCTTCATTGAAGGAAATCAGGACAGGAACTCAAACAGGACAGGAACCTGGAGGCAGGAGCTGATGCAGAGGCCATGGAGGAGTGCTGCTTACTGTCTTGCTCCTTATGGCTTGCACAACCTGCTTTCTTATAGAACCCAGGACCACCAGCCCAGGGATGGCTCCATCCAAAATGGGCTGTGTCCTCCTCCATCAATCACCTATTAAGAAAATGCCTTACAGCTGGATCTTATGGAGTCATTTTCTCAATTTAGGTTCTCCTTTGAGATAACACTAGTTTGTGTGTCAAGTTGACATACGACAGAATAGCTATAAACAATGGAAATCTATTTTTCACCAGCAAGGGAGGGCTGGGAATGGGGGCTGGTTCTCTAAACACCAATCTAAGAGAAAAACAACACTTAACCCTACTACAACCTAGTCCCTCCTAAACATTGCAAATGCTTCCAACTAAAAGAGCAAACTTTATTTAAATAATGATAACAAAATTAAACCAACCACCTAACTCCGGATATGCAAATCCCAATGTGAAAACACATGTAACAACAACAAAACCAATACTCGTCTTCTCTAAATTCTACTCATCCTAGAGTAATGTTCCTCAACAAGAGTGACCTAGATGAAATTCTAGACAAAGAATTCAAGAGCATGATGATAAAGCCATTCACAGAAATGAAAGCAGACATAAACAAACTCCTGAATGAAATCCCAGTGAACACAAACAGCTGAATGACATAAGGAAGTCAATCTAGGGTATGAATAGAATTCAATAAAGACAGAGACACCCAGGGGAAGCCAAACTGAAACGATGCTGGAAATGAAAATTCCAGTAAGCGAAATGAAAAACCCCGTGGAAAGCCTCAGTAGTGAACAGATCACGGGGAGAACAAAATATCAGGGCTTGAGGACAGGTAGAGGAATTGGTATATTCATCCAAAGACAACAGTACAATTAAAAAAAAATGTGTTCGTAAGAGGCATGATCGCTGGGACATTATGAAAAGATGAAGTCTAAAAACTGTGGGCATGGAATAAGGGATGGTGTACAGCTGTTTCCTTGAAATTCAAACAGCCCACGAGCTGCTAGAAGCCAACTCCGACCAGCTGACCTGCATGCAGAGAAGTCTGAGTGTTGAGCTACCTGCCAGCTGGGCAGAGGGGGCTGGGCTTGCAGCTTTCCAGGGAGCTGTCCCCAGGCTGGCATAGGGTTTTCAGTGATGCAGCCATTGGGGGGGGGGGGGGGAGTGAGGTTGCAGAGTTCTTGCTCTGGCGAGTGATATATGCAACTTAGGGCTGAGCCATGGTGAGTCACAGCAGGAACCCAAGTTGGAAGCTTAGGAGGATTCAAGATAGATCCAGGCTGAAAAGCTTCCCTGGAGTATGAGAGCTTCGCGGTGGCTTGTTGAGTGAATTTTATGAAGAAGAGACTTTGGCAAACTGGAATGCTCTAGACTGACTATAGGAATCTAGTTCATACGGTGACAAAAAACAATCTAAAAGACATCAAAGAAGGACAAAACAGGGGGAAAAATGGTGTCCAGGTCACTTGGAGGCAAATGTGGCAAGATCTGAGTTCCTGAGGGAAAGAACTGACAGCCAGACACCACAGAACTCAGTTTATAATACGAACTGTAAACTAATGTAAAACGTCCTAGGGCAGGTGGGAGAGGACCATGATGGGGGAATTACAGAGGGACCTAGGAAAATCTGGGGAGACATGCGTCTAATGCTATGGTCATTACTTTGCCAGCATGGTTTCAAGAGCAACAAAACTTAGGGTGTGTGTAGTTTGTGTTTGTCAAGTTATACAGCAATAAAGCTGGTCATTACAAAAAGAGTATGAGAAGGATTATATGTTGACGCAGAACTGGGTTCCCATGTAATAAACGAGAGGGAAGGTTCCAGGATGCAGTGCGTAGGATTGATCTCATATTTTGAAACATGTTTTAAAACAAGCTTTAAAATCCGTAGCCGACCGTACTGGCAGGCTGGCAGTTCACAGGTGACCTTCTTCAGTCCTGGCCTGCAGCTCAGGACCCGAGGGACTCTCACTGCAGCTTCCTATCAGGGTCCCTCAAGTGTCTGCATGCTGGCAGTGGGGCGTCCTTCTCAAGCGAAACCTAAAACTGGAACTGTTAGTTTTGGGCAGTCAGTCATTTAACTAAATACTCACGAAGCATCCCGCTTGCCGCTTAATTAAGCCGCACTCTCACAGTGGCCCTGGGACCACCGAAGGACTTCTAGGGGGCCAGGAATCAGCATATGCTAGGCGAGTCCCTGGGCTCCAACAGAGCGGTTGGGGCCCGGGCAGGGCTACCTAAGGTCAGTGCTGCCAGGGGTGGAGCTTCCACCAGTGGGCGGGACGTTCCCCCAAGGGGCGGGGTGTGGGCGGGAGTCAGGGGGCTACCCTTGAAGTTAAACACAGCGGCTAGGGGCGGGGCGGGATTGACAGGGGCGGGGCATCTGAGAGCTGACGCTTCCGAAGGGCGGGGCATTACTGAGGGGCGGGGCGTCGGTGGGCACGACGAACAACACAGCTCCTGGGGGCGGGGCGAGGCTCGCCGCGGGCGGGGATTCAGGAGCTGAACAATAGCGAACTGACTGGGTCAGGCTTCCCGGAGGGGCGTGGCGTGGGCGGGGCCTGGCCCGTGGGTCCATTCAGTCCCTCAGAGTCGCTGTGGCTTTGGCGGCGCTGGGGCCCGCCCACCTGAGAAAGTGGCTGCAAGCGACTGTCCAGCAGAGTCCTGCGTTTGTCCTGAGGGCCTACCTGGGGCTGGCTGCAGCTCAGGCGTCGAGGTAATGTCTGTGGCGCAGCACTAGGGAGCCGGCGGGGCGGGCCGGGCCGAGCTACGGAGGCGGAGGCGAGCCCTCGAGCTGCCTGGCCGCGGAGGCAAGAGCGGAACCGAAGCCGCTCGGAACCAAGCCTGCCGAGCCGAGCCGAGCCGAGCCGAGCCGAGCCGAGCCGGGCCGCGCCGCCTGGGGGCTGTCCAGCTTTCCCGCCGCTGAGCCGCTGCCTCTGTGGAGGGTACTTGGGCTAGGTTGTCCCCGAGTCCCGTTTCTCTGCGCAGTTAGAATGTAAGACAAACTGCACCGTGCAGCTTTAGAGCGGTGCGTTTGCACTGTCGTTTGTATTCGTTTTTAGACTTTCAACTCTGCCCCGGCTTGGTGTCGCGTCTTTCTAGTCCAGGCTGGAACAGAGGTTGCAGGGAGACGGGGTAGGCTGCTCCGTGCCCAACTCCCTTCAGATTCCAAGGCATGGTCCAGGTCAGGCTCTGTGCAACCTTTCTGGCACCGTTGCATGTCAAAAGGTGTTTTCAATCCAATGACATTTGGCAAAACTTCAGATGATGTATTTAAAAATGAACTTATCTATTCAAAAATTGAAGTTTCCTTTGTAAGTAAATATATCTTAATGCCACAGAAAAGCTTGAACTATGGTGAAGATTTATACAGCTTATAAACAAATACATGTAATTGTGATAGTAAGTAAAATGTGAATTTTCAGAGTCGTTTACTGCCTGATATGTAACCTTAGTCTTGCTTCCGGTGTCACTCATGGCAAATACTGACATATTTCCACAAGCAGAAAATAATTTTAGTGTTAATAATTCTCAAATAAAATCACTTAATGCATATTATGATTTGTAAATAACCTGATCATGAAGTTATTATGTGCCCTAATGATGTTTCGTGGTGTTTTTCCAAGACTGAGCGTGAAGTCAAATGGATGTTGGTGAGTACTCTATGGCAGCAGATGATTCACTTCATTGGTTCACTGTGAACTGTAACTTGGAAGCCGCATTTAGGTAAGAAGGTCTCGAAAATGAGGCAATCCATTTTTTTTAACATGAAAAGAAATGGTCAGTTTTTTTAAGTGGCCCCATATATTTAAGGTAGAATTTAAAAAATATTTTTCATTTTAATTTTTATTAATTATACTTTATTCACTTTGTATCTTCCCATAAACCCCCTTCCTCCCCTCCCAATCCCACCTTCACTCCCCCTTCTCCCATGCATGCCCCTCCCCAAGTCCACTGATAGGGGAGGACTTCCTCTCCTTCCTTCTGATCCTAGTCTATCAGATCTCATCAGGAGTGGCTGCATTGTCTTCCTCTATGGCCTGTTAAGGTAGAATTTTTACATAAACCATTTCCAAGAAAGTGGAAATGCAATTATGACCAAGTGACGTTCCATGTTCATAAGTCATTTACTTTATTTCATATTATTTAATTAAATAATGAACACGTGATTTTAAAAAGTATATCTAAGTAATAAAAATCAGTTTATCTTACATTGTGAAATACACTGACACAGCTATAATGTTGTGTTGTATGAAGTTTATAACTGGGAGGGCGGGGTTTAGTGCTCTATGTAAGGAGAAAGAAAATTGACATGCTTTTTACTAAATTATTGCTATCAGTAGAATGTTCTTTTTAAAGACGTTTATTTACTCGTATTGGTATTTTGCTTTCACTTATGTCTGTGTGCCATAAGTGTGCCTGGTGCCTGTGTGGGTGCTGGGAATTGAACCTCGGTCCTCTATAAGAGCAGCAAGTGCTCTTAACGACTGAGCCATCTGTCTTGGCTAATAACATTAATTATTAATGTTATTAATAATTAATCTCCTAATAACATTAATTCTTTATGACGATTCAGTATAACACAATCCCTCTGTGTGGAAAACTATGAGGCAGTATACGAATCCTGACGTTGGGATGAAGTCTTTATTTGTCTTCATTGCTCTTCTAGTTAAGTTTTATACTAGGGATGGCTTTTCTTACTGTCGTGAAGTTGCAACTGTTTTGTAGGCTACTGAGTGAGACAGTTATGGACATCTGTGGTTGGCTGTCTTTCTTCTGCCTCTGAGTTTAGAATCCAGCCTCAGCCTCTTTACTACACACACACACACACACACACACACACACACACACACACACACACA